GGGGGGGGGTCTTGAAATGGAACGGGCTGAGATGTCCTGCGCCTCGGGGGGCCCCACGGGAAAGCGGAGCCGGGCTGTTTGCAAGGGCAGGTAGTGGGTGAACGGCTTTCAGCTGGAAGGGCAGAGATTTAGATGAGGCTTTAGGGAGAAATTCTTCACTGCGAGGGTGCTGAGACTCCGGCACAGGCTGCCCAGAGCAGCGGTGGGTGCCCCGTCCCTGGAAACGCTCAGTGGCAGGGTTGGTCGGGCTTGGAGCATCCTGATCCAGTGGGAGGTGTCCCTGTCCGTGCAGGGAGGCCTGGAAATACCTTTGAGGTACCTTCTGGCCCAAACTATTCTATGATTCTCAAATGACTAAAAGAAGGACATAAATTGTACTGGCATTTTTGTAAGGCTGCTCCATTTGCAGATGGATGGGTATCTGCAAGCTTCACAAGAAGCTGAAATACTTCTCTTGTAAGACTAATTATTGTTTAAATTGTTGAATGGAACAGATTCCTTCATGTGCACCTCAGTGTCAGACACTTGGCAGCATCAGGCCTCCTTGCCTTGTGTGGACTGATGAAACGAGAACAACAAAGCAGGAGCTCCAAGTCTGTCCCAAGCTTTGGTCTTTTCACTCTTCTGTTACAGTCATGGGGTGAGAAAGCACCACCTTGGGACAGTGGTGCTTCTGCAGGACAGGCTGGCAGCTGATGCCATCTTAAATGTCCCTTCACTGTAAGTTAAACGCACCCACAACCTGGCCATAGTCTGGGCAGAGCAAAGGTGGCAGGAGACCAGAAATGATCTCACCTGCCAAGTGCACAGGTATAGTTAACTCTGAAATCCTTCTGCTCCAGTAAATGGGACTGGTAACTCAGCAGGAGGAACCTTAAGCTGATGGGTTATGGCAGGCTTGAAATTTGGGGGATGGATGGGTGGTCTGTGCTCTTATTCCTGTTGCTTTCTCTTTTATTTTCCCTCTGGGCACTGACAACTCCCTTTTCTGTTGAAAAGTCCTTACTCTAGTCTGTGTTTGGCTGAGCACAAATCTTTTCATTTCCTCTTAAAAAACAAGAAAAAATTTTAACACGCACCAAAATTCTGTAGACAGAATATGTATGTAAAACTGAGCAGTGCAGTCGTGGGAGTTAAAATCTGTGTACAACTAATGAACAATTCACCTTTTTCCCCCCCCCCCCGTCCCCTTTTTTTGGACTTAGGTGACTCATGTTCTGAATGTGGCATATGGAGTCCAAAATGCCTTCCTCAATGACTTTATATACAAGACTATTTCTATTCTGGATCTCCCAGAAACTGATATTACCTCCTATTTCCCTGAATGTTTTGACTTCATTGAGAAAGCCAAGATCCAGGTACAGTATATCAATAATAATGCTACTAATTGTCCTGTTTAGATTATTTATTACCCTGTGTTTTAGAGAAATGGTTCTTTAATACAGTTGGACCAGTGGCTGACTTCAGATCAAGAGATCCCATCATAAGTCTAAATCACTATATCTGACAGAAGGGAACTTTTTTATTTTCTTTAATTTACCCATCAGGGATGTGGTTTTGGAGTAGAAACAAGCCTGACAGAGCTTTTACAGATCTGTGTGTTCGTTGGCAGCCATCTACCCTCCTGGTGCTTTTCCTTCATCATCCGTTGAGGATGTAGCACATTGACCCATGAATCCACACACAATAATGTCCCAGGACTGTCAGAGAGTTGAACCAGTGATTGAACTGCTAACAAAATTCTTTAAAAGACACTGCATAGGAGATGGGTGAAGGGACTCCTGGGGTTGCTTGGCAGACTTGTTTGTAACCAAGACCATCCCTGACTCCTGCTTGCTGTGTAATTGAGAACAATCATTCCTTTGGTATCAAAACTGAGTTGACAACCAAACCTTCCTGCATGTTACCTCACCACAGCCACCTTATTCATTATTTATGTAGACTGGGATAAAAGAAGATAATCTTGCCCTGGCTTTCCTTGTGTCACACACTGTTCTTTCCTTCTCTCATTTATCATTGATGAGCTATGTGATCCACATGGTCACTTAATGACCTTTTCAAGGTTTCTAGTTACGGTTTCCACTTAGTTTCTAAATGAGACTTGCCATTCATAACTGCACAGGATTTCTTTCTGCCACTGGTAGTTATGTTCCAGTTAGTATTTTGTGAGCCAAGGGCTTTTCCTGAAAACTGTAACAGCAATATGAATAGTTTCCTAATGGGACAGCTGGGTGAAAGAGCAAGTAACTGGCAGAACAGATGTTCTCCAGGATCAGTTCGTGAGGTAGGTTATAGTAGTATGAGGAGAGATCTGTGGATGGTTTGAATCATTTTATTTGCCTGGTCAAAATAATGTTAAAAGAGCTTATGATAAATTGTGTCATGGAGTGCTCTTCTATTTAAGTAATCACAAAGCCATACTACTCTCATTTCCTAATGAGAGGTGTTCACTGGTGCAAGAGCATGATATATCAGAAATTACTGCTAGAATGTGGTTAACTTAATGGAAGACTATGAGAGGACTTGAATTTGAGAATGCAAGGGAAGCCTGCACTGTTTAATAAGGCACTGCCAGCTCGTATGTGTGACAGGAGTGGCTCTCCTAGAACTGTAACTGCTTAGGTCTGTAGACACCATGGTGCAAATTCTGATACAGATCAGAGCTCACCTTTTCTTCTAGGCTCCAAACTGGCAGCAGATTTTCCATTACATGTTAGGTGACCCATGTCAGATCATAGTGCTGTGAATGAGGGAATTTTTTAAATCTTTCTGTTTAATATCTAATTATAAAACCTCTAAAATCTTGTCTTTCCAGGGAAGAAACTTTAGCTCATTGATGAACATCTTTCCCTGTGCCTCCTAAAGATAAAGCCCTGGTACCACTGCCCAGTAGAGTGGATCCCTCAGGAGCTTTATGCTTCTTTTAAATTTCTTTCCCTGGTGAGGCTTTTTGCCCACTGTGTGAAACCAGCTTAATGACCTTTTTTCTTGGTAGAAGGTGGTTTTCCTTCCCTCTGTGAAAAAATGTAAAAAACCACAACTTCAGCCTGAATCTGAAGAGGTTCTTGCAAGGCCATGGAGCATTTCTGGGTCAGCAAAGGTTAGGCTCTTAAGATCAGAGCATGGAGTTCTTGGTAAACAAATGAATTTCATGTCTGCAATCACATCTAATACAAAATTAGTTAGGAATTACATGTCAAATTCATCTTTCTATAAAGAAGCAACAAGCATTAGCAAGGAAAGAGAAATATTTTCAGTATTATATTTGTTTTAATGTTACTGCCCATGTTCATTCATGTTCAGTAATTTTCAGGTCTGTTGCGTGCATATCACTATATAATTTCTGGCACTGTACAACAGAAAAGTCATTTAGAAAAACCAAAATATGAAATAAATGTGAAAGAGAAAAATAAATAATGAAATGTGCATGGGGAAAAAAAAAATCACTTCCCATGCTTATTTTTTACCCTCAATGCCACTGCTAGATACTGATGTAAATCATGTTATGTCTGAAAGAATTTCCATTAAATCAGTAAGAACTACTCCAGATCTACAGTGGATAAGCTTCAGCAATGGCTTCATTAGCAGTGGCCTAAGTATAATTTTTGATACCATAATTTTAATGGCATTATTATAAAGGAGATGGTGGATTTACAGGTCACCCACTGGTACTTCCTCAGGGAGTTAAAACACATGTACAAGTCTGCTTTCTGCTCTGCTGTAGTCTGTGATCTTTGGTGATGAGGAAGCATGTCCCTGCTAATGGGAGCAAGGGAATGAAGATGCCTGTTTCCAGCAGGCAGTGCAAAGGGAGTGTAAGTTCAGTTGCAAAAAAGGGGAGTGTTGTGGTTCTCTGTGCTGGGATTAAGTTGCTAGCTCTGCCATCATCTTGTTAACTTGAGCAAGTCATTCTTCTAGTCTCGGCTTGCCATTTCTTCAGCAAGGATAATAACACTCAATTTCATACTTCTTGGTCTTTTTATTTAAGCTGGAATAGTTTTGGAGCAGGAGCTGTTTTCTGCTCTGTGTCTTTATTAATATACCAGATAATTCCAGCTCCCAGGTCTGTAACAAAAGCCATTACATTCCTGGAAGAGAACCCTGGTGCTTAAAAGGTCTTTTTTTTTCCTCTGGGTAAAAAACCCATTGACTAATTTGTGCCTGTTAAGGGCAGACAGAGCACGCTGTTTATATCTAGAATCTATTTCTAAAGCCTTAAATATCTGAGCACATTGTGACATGTTTCAGTGTCTTTATTCAGAATATGGAGATGCTAGGGCCTTTTTTTGGGAAAGTGGCATTTGGCAGTTTGAATGGAGCCTTTTCCAGGTCATACTCTGGTGTACAAACATGACATGAAGAAGCCTGGACCTTGCAAATGTTGCCTAAGCCCCAGTAGATTGTCTAGTTGTCTCTGTGTTAACTCACACCTGTTCCTTCTTAATGAAACTTGTAGTGTCTTTCAGAGATTGTGTGGGAAATGTTTAAGTAGGATAAAAGCGTTCATTTTATAGATAATTCAAGGTAAGCCTGAATAACCTGAGGAGACACGTGTGACTTTATGGGAGGTTCAGTAGGTTCCTCATTTAAGGGACCTTTGCCAGCCCCTACGGTCGTACCAGCAGCGTGATGGGGAGGTAGAGATTTGTTGCCAATCACACGATATCTTTTCTGATTTTTCTGTTCTTATGCATGATCCTGCTTACCCAGAATCTCCACTGAAGAACTCCAGAGTACGCAGGAAGCGTACGGCTGAAACTACGAGATGTTCTAAAATCTGCCTGTGTGCCTAGCTGTTTGCTGCCTTGCTGTGTTTTTAACCTGGTAACAAGATACAGTCAAGTTCCTTTCCATACTGCAAATAAAATCTTACCTTAAAATTGGCACCCAATTAGATAGGTATCTTCCTGTCCCAGATGTCTGTGATTTGGTTTTTACAGGAGGGGGCTGCTGCAGGGTCTTGGGGAAAGGGACGGGAATGTTTTTGAGTTCTAAACTATGAATTAGGTTTGAATGAATTATTAAGTGGCTTCGGTTATAAAAATAACTTCAATTTTGGGCTTACATGTCTTGTGTTTGGAGTTGCTTAGACGTGTAAATATTTGCTGTGGAGCAAGGAGTTTCTAGTAAGTTTTAATAGATTTTCATATGAAGTTTCTCGTACTTGTTGCTATCTATCTGCTAACTGCAAAATGTTTCATTTGATTCTTGAAGGATGGTGTCGTGCTGGTCCACTGTAATGCAGGAGTCTCCCGGGCAGCTGCAATAGTCATCGGTTTTCTCATGAATTCAGAAAGACTGAGTTTTGCTAGAGCCTATTCCTTGGTGAAAAGTGCAAGGCCTGCAGCTTGTCCGAATCCTGGCTTCATGGAGCAGCTTCACAAGTACCAAGAACAGACCATAAAGGCAAACGGAAGCATAAATGATCACGACTGATCACGACTAAGAAAGGGAGAAGTGAAAACAGTCTGTTTTGGCTAGACAGTAAGAGATGTTTGTTGGATGTACTTCCATCTCTCATTTTGCAGTCCCCTCTCACATGTGCATTTTTAAGACCTTCTCTACACATTTTCTTTTCTGACTCCCCTTCGACCCTCTTTTTGGCATGTAGTCTAATGGGCAAATGCTGTTCTGTTCACTTCAGCGTTGATTTTGCCCAAGAATAAGCTCTTCCTAGAGCACTAGTAGAAAGAAAGTTCAAGTTTCCTTGCAATATTAGGAAAGAAATAGAAATTTATTTTTAACCTAATCTTCAGAGAATGCAGGCAATAGAGAAAGGAAATGAGTAAATGACCTGTTTATTTTAATACTAAACCAAATCTGTATGCATTCTAGTTGATTGTAAAATCGAGGTAATAACATGTTAATATAATAAAGCACCTTGACACTCGATTTTAAATTGATGTTGCAACGAAAGAGGATTTTATTGCATTTTGTGGGCTAGCCAGCCATTTCATATTTTTGGAAACTGAAGTAGGTGGTCTTTTGATGGAAGTAAAAAGGTATAGGATGGTGTAATGCTTCATTGCCTTCTACTGTTTCTTATCCAGTAGTGATTTGAAGTGCTTTAATGCTATTTTCAAAGTGCTGGAACCAGGCTGTCAAGATTTTTTGGTAGGTCATTTTGGTGGAGATGCAAAAAACGTTTATGACAACCTGTCTGTGACTCCCCGTTACTGCCTTCTCTTTGCATTTGGTCCTTACTTGCTGTCCCTTCACTCCACTCCACGTCGTGTACAATGAACAGACTTTACAGGACAGGTCACCCGGACGGAGTAACCGTACTAAGATGCACGTTAAAAACTCAAGCAAAACACTGTACAAGATTTTATTAGTGGTTTTTTTTTTTGTGGCCTTCATGCCAGTTCTAAACGGTTTGATACCTTAAGACGCAACGAAATAAAAACGACACTGTGTTTGGATAAATGTTGTGCTGCAGTGATTTGGAAGGTTTGGTTTCTGATCCAATATTCTCTCCTCCCGCCCCTGGTGCGGGCTGTGGCGTGTCCTCGCCGAGTGACACCACTTGTTCTGTGCTCTTGCTGCTCCCGGG